TAATGATCGAAAAGTTAGTTATTATTGTACTTTTCTCTTGATTTTATTGCCACCTGGACATCATTACAATTTTATATTCGGTTCCAGTTGGATCCTTAATCAGAGTGAACCTATTTAGTTTTGTGTTTCTTCACACTCAAAAGCGCCTGCTGCGCTTGATGCGCCAATGAATTTCAATTCTATCTACATACAAAATTATTCACATCGCTATAGATGCTTTAAACCGTGGCTCGGAGACAGCATACTGTTCAGTAACGGTGCAAAGTGGCTAAAAGAGAGAAAAGCGGTTATAGCCACATTTCGCATGCAGATCTTGAAGAAATTCGTGCCACTGTTTTATGAGAATAGTCAGGATCTGGTGAGACGGCTTGCTCAAAATACTAACGAGCGATTTAATTGCCATGAACACTTGTCGGTCGCAACTTTTCATATGTTGGTGGAAACTATGATGGGGATAAGAAGAAAAAAGGTTGAAGACATCAGTTTTAATTATGCAACGGCCGTGATGAAGTATGAGTTTTTATTTTGTTACTTCGTACCTACTACACGTTGTTACTTTGAAGCTTCGCATATAATGTTTCATTGTCCCGTTTTTTAAACGTCACAGACTGAACGAGATTGTGCATAAACGACAGATCGACATGTCATTACAATCAGATCTGTTGTTCCGTTTTTCGAAACTCGCAAAGCTGCAGGAAAAGCTGCTCCACACCGCCCACTCAGCAACGAGGTTAGTGATACAAGAGAAATGGAAGGATATCGAAGAAAAGCAGCTTAAAAATACACATCAAATTGAAACTGAAAATTTAACCGAGGACGCAGAAAACGGCATCAACACGATCAATTACAAGATGCATTATACGAGAGATGATCTGGACGATTTCGAGAATGTAGATGTGAGCGAGAAAAAGCCACTGCCTCTTTTAGAGATGTTGATGGACATGAAAAAGAACGGACAAATCACCGACAAGGAGATTTTTGATTTTGTCAACTCGGCCTTGTTCGCGGTAAAATATCAATCTCGCAGCAATTAATTATTAATTTTCTTTAATAAGGCACTGAAATCAAATTCCGTGTTTTGCAAAATCAATATTACGCACACCTTTTATTTCGAAAACTAGATTATATCGGGCGAAAATATTACAGGGTTACGACCCCATATCAACTACTTCGAGTTTCGTGCTTTGTATATTGGGATGTCTTCCGGAAATCCAGGTAAATCTATTCGCGATATTTTTACATTGAAAAACTCATTTAGTTAATATTAATTAATATTAATGTTTAGTTAATATTAATGTTTTAAACATTATTAAAAATATTAAAAATGGAGATAATATAAATTATTGTGTATTTTTATTTAAATACACATTCCATAAATGAAATGTGACAAACTGTGCACTGAAATTATGAACCGAAAATAAAAAGGTAACAGCCATAGAACAGACATGCTCATGTTGTTACTTATAACATATCAATATGTTACATACGTCATTAGATTCGGTTAAGTTCGATTCGAAACAAAAATATTCACTCCAAAATGGAGAGGGAGAGAGAGAGAGAGAAAGAGACAGAGAGAGAAACCTGCAGTGAAAGAATTCACTATATGTACGTTAAAGTGGAAAATCAATGCAAATCGAATGATTGCGATAGTCATTAATTTCTTAAGGGAAACTTCAGTTTATAGGCCACATAGTGACATTCAGAGCACATCATAAAATAAAGTAATTCACTCCATAATAGTTACTCCAATTCGAGTTGGCTGTCATTCCATTTTTCGAATGAAGATATCATTGCATAAGAATTGGAAAGTCTTTAAAGTCGTAATGAAACGATGTCACTATTAACATTAATTTTTATTGTGCAGGCACGTGTGCATGACGAATTGGACTCAATATTTCATGACAGCGACAGGGAGTGTACTTTCCAAGACACGATAAATATGAAGTATCTGGATAGAGTTATTCTGGAAGCATTGAGGCTCTTTCCTATAGGACCACTATTCGCTAGGAAGCTTAATAAGGATGTAAGAATAGGTAATTCGATCCAAATAATTTTAATCGTGTCACCCGTCGACACATATATATTTTAAGTACACGTATTAAAAATTTATTTAAAACACAAAACGAATCATCTTTATATTAAAGTTACAGGGAATTACGTTCTA